GGGCTGGAAAGCCAAGCTGAAGTCACTGGTCATTCACAGGGCACTTCACCTAGAGCAAGCGGCCATGGGAATAACAATACAAACTCTCCAGGTCTGAGAAGGTCACTCAGGGCAAGAGGCCCTCCTAAATACCTAGCCGATTACGTAAGGTGAACAGGTACATAGCGAGAGCTGACTGAATGTACTGGCGGGTTGTATTTAAGTAAAACAAGGTCGGGGGGGAGTCACTGGATCTGGTTCAAAGGAACAGTCCCACACCTTATACATTGTGTAACTTTATTTCATTATTAATTATATTACCATCTATAGGATGACGTCCATTTGGGCGCAATCTTATTTCATCCAGGGGGAAGGGGTGTTGTGTCCTGAGCCTGCAAGATGCAGGCTCGGGAAGTTGCAAGAGTCCCGGGCATTTGCAGAAGCTGCCCGGGACCAGACTGAGCGGCGCCGGCCTTGTGCGCATGCGCAAGGCGGGAAAAGCCCGCCTCATGATTGGTTGAAATTGCCCGGGGATCAGAGGGTATAAATAGAGGCCTGCGTGCCTCTGCTCTGATTGTTCGTAGAGTGGAGCAAACAATAAAGACTTGTTGAAGATGAATCGTCTCAAGCGCCATTATTCCCAGGACTTAACAATAAGAGTATAAGAAATGAGTTTGGATGATGAGTCCTAGAATTCCCTACCCAGCAAATCTGGAAGGAAGAATCCAAGTTGGGAAAAGCTGGATAGCAATCGGACTTGGTGGAGGAAGACCTGCCATTTGTATGGCTGGTTCTTCAAGCCTTCTGGTTATCAGTAAGCAACTAGTTTTTGTAAAAAAATATTGTACAAGTAGTCCTCTATTTACAACCATAGTTGAGCCCAAAATCTCTGTTGCTAAGCGAGACAGCTATTAAGTGAATTTTGCTCCATTTTATGTCCTTTCTTGCCACGGTTGTTAAGTGAATCCCTGCAGTTGTGAAGTTAGAAACAGTTGTTAAGTGAATCTGGTTTCCCCATTGACTTTGCTTGTCAGAAGGTCGCAAAAGGGGACACTGCAACTGTGGGACACTGCAACTGTGATAAATATGTCGAGTGTCTGAATTTTGACCACATGACCCTGGGATGCTGCAATGGTTGTTAAGTGTGAAAAATGGTAAGTCGTTTTTATATTCAGTGCCTTTGTAACTTTGAAAGGTCACTATATGAATTGTTGTAAGTCGAGGACTAATTGTAGTAAGTTTCTTCTACAGTGAGCTACTCATCAGATTTATTGTCCCAAACGCCATTAGTCCTCCATGTCTGTTTTGCATCCAGTGGGCAAATGAGAAAATCATGAGATATCTTTGAGAGATATCTCAAAGAAGTGGATGTGGTTTTGTGATCTGATTACCATTTTGTACATTAAGTATCATTCTTTTTTTTATGCATGGCTCAATTTTTGCAACACATATTAATTGCCTGTCATCCATGCATACCCTGGCTATCTGAGGCAACAGTGGTGCAGCTTTCTAATTCACAGATGCACACATCCCATCCAACTCCAAACTGAAATTACTTTGCTCCAGATTAAAAACAAAATACATCCAGTTAGTGAGAGCATTAACTCCTTTCGGTAATACATTCATGTAGATTCAAAAGAAATAATAGTAGTGGTGAAGGCTTATTAAAAAATAGAAACTCTGCTTTATTAAGCTTGGAGCAACATGGGGAAGGACTTCTGTAGCATAAGAACTCTGGGCTGGAAAGAAGGCAGATGGCATATGGCATTTTCCAATCTTTGCCAGCTCAAGATCAGGACTGCAGCGAGGCTCAAGGTGCCCTCTGCCAGGGGCACAAAAGTACACTGTCTTCAGAAAGACAGTGACTCTTACAGTCCTTTGGGGAAATTGAAAAGGGGGCATGGAAGGGTGAACCCCGTTGCTTGACTCAGGAACTCAAATAATTGAAGAGCAAACAAGATGGAGAGGGAGATAAATGTATCCACTGACCAGGCCATTCTTTCCTTTCTTGCATTGACTTAATTTATCCCCTGCCCACCAAGCTTCATTTACTCTGAAAGAGAGTAACCTATAGATGGGGGCATATGGAACAGGAGGGAGGTTTAATTCTATGCCAGCCAGCTCATCCAGCAGGTTGCTAGAGGCTGTGAATTACCTGCATGATCTGGGAATTGTTCATCGGGATCTCAAAGTGAGTATTGTTGGGATGCTTTGGGGTGTTCAACAGGTCCCAACTTTATGCAAGAGAGAGGATCCCAATCCCCCCTCCCCCAGAGTATGAACCCTGCTTTGCTAATAGACATTTAGCCTGGTTATTGAGTTAACCTATTTTTCTGGATTAACCAGTGTAAAGGAATCATCTATATGTCGAGGAATTCGACTTTGGAAATGGTATTGAAATATACACCCTCGGATAGCAGAAAGCATTTCTGTCTCTCCCTCCCCCCCAACTGGGATAAGAATACTTGATAAAAGCACATTTTGGCGTTATTTTACTCCAGTGGCCAATCAAATGCAGAGGGAAACTAAAACTGGACAAGAAACCGACAATAACTCTCCGTTCTGTGTATAGAAGGTATAGTTTTGTATAAGGAGAAGAAAGATAAAATAAATAACACATGCTGGATAAACTAGTACTGTAAACTCCAACTGTACTTGCAGTGTGACAGCAGTTAAATCAGTGGTGCCACATTTCAAAGTTACAGTTAGAGCAACTGCTTTCTTGCAGGTATGTGGAATGGCGTGGGACCCACAGGTTTTACAAAGTGAAGAGAGGAAGTTGGTTACAGCTTATTAGGAAAGATAAAATAGACAACCAAGAATGCTTTATTGACCATTCTTCATTCAGATTTTATATCAATTGCATCTGCTAATACAGGTGTTCTGATAGTCTTGTTTTAACTTTTTTCCCTTATCGCTTTTTGGAGTTTTCATCCTGCTTTCGTGAGAGGGCAGCGTTTGGGAGGGGATGTAGCTGCCCCCTTCCCCCCCAAGCCATCAGCTGAGCAAGACGCCCGCCTGCCCGCGCTTTTCCCCGTCTGAGGCTTTCGTTGTCATGAGCATTTCTGTTGAGGATTGGCGGGGGGGGGGCTGTTTGGTTTTTATTCCCCTCCCATCTACTGGGTGGTTGCAGCAGGTTTTGGTCTCTTCTGTCGTGCTTTGAGATTACCCACGAAGAACGTTTGTTTTTTTGGGGGGGATCCCCACTCTGGTTGCTAACCTTGCTTAAATCCTCTTCCACCTCCTCCTCACTGGAGTCCCCCTTTGTCTGCAATCAGCTCCTGCCCCGGCCTCGCCTTGCCCCACGGGAATGGCACCCCCGCCCTGCCCTCTCCCTGCAGGACAAGCCTCCGGCCCACTGCCCCAATCACCAGACCTCCTGGATCTCCTCCAACCCTGCTGGGCCCCCACAGACATCCCTCCCCAGGAGCAACATTGAGGTGACCACACCCACCCTGGCCACACCTACCCATCCACACTGCCATGACTGTAGTCATGCCCACTCAGTGGGCCACACCCACCGTGGGCCATGCCCACCCGGCACCCGGAGATACATAAGTGGGTTTTAGGTTACAGTTTGGGCACTCAGTCTCTAAAAAGTTTGCCATCACTGGTATAGAGGCTTGGCAAGAGCAGGGATTCACACTGCGCCATGGTGGCTCAGTGGTTAGAATGCAGTACTGCAGGCTACTTCTGCTGACTGCCGGCTGCCAGGAGTTCGAGTGTCACCGGCTCAAGATTGACTTAACCTTCCATCCTCCCAAGGTCGGTAAAATGAAGACCCAGATTGCTGGGGCAATATGCTGACTCTGTAAACCGCTTAGAGGGGGCTATAAAGTGAAGTGGTATATAAGTCTAACTGTTATTGCTATTGCTATTTTCCCCTTACAGACTTTTGGGATTTAACTTTTATTAAAGGGTATTCAGCAAGTCATCCATAATGAAGAGGTTAGGAATCAACCCCATGAAAGCAAAAAGATGATTTTTACCTTGGAGTGTTTCCCAAGATCAAATGTCAGTAAATCACAAATAGATTTAATGTTTTAATAATTAAATTAGTCATTCCATAAAATGCACCCTTGCAAATCACAATAAATAGAAATACATTTTTCCTCCTTTAAAACCTACTATATACATTGCTTGCATCCACAAATTCATTACAGGGAACAAGCCTTCAAAACAAGCCTTGAACACTTTAGCTAAAGATAAAAGATTCAGCACACTTTAGAAGTGCGTAAAAAGTGGGCCAACCACCAAAATGCCAAGAGGGAAACAGCTACTAATGGGTCAGGAGTTATAAGTTCTCCTGAGATAGAAACTAGGAAGAGTACAAAATGGGTGAAAACTTTAAAAAAAAAACCAGAGTTAGGCTCCTGCACAATTAGACCTTGTAGAGTTCTGGATCCTGTATTTGAAAAAGAAATGGGAACAAATATCTTGTCCACCAAGAAGAAAAAAATCCTAGTCATGTTTTCCATTCAAGTCTAGTTTTCTGTCAACCACCATTTAATATATTTACTGTTGGTGCTCTAGAATGATAACCACTATGATAATTCTTGTTAGGAACCTAGTGCAATGCTTCAGAGAATTGCTAGATCCTTACATATACACTGAATAGAAGAGGGAGACAGAATTATACCCCAAAAGGAAAACACCAAGCATCACAAGACTGGTGAAATTTTGGGATAGGTGGGAATGGAAGGAGGTCCCAGTCTAGCAGCAAATGTAGGCTTTGTCTCAAAAAGAGCCTAATCTGTTCAACCTGAATGGTACCCAAAATACATCTAATTTTAGAGACCAATTCAAGGGAAGAAATGCAAGAGGGTGGTACTAGAAAAAGTCAAGCAGAAATGCTGCAGTGCAATGTGATTTCCAAGGAACTGGCACATTTGGAAAAAGCTGGAAATCAGAAGTACAGAGGAGAACTCATACAATATGTATAAATAGAAACAAATAATTCAACGCACATTTTGAGGTAGGGCAAGAGGAACTATCTTTGTTCTGGGGCTTTGGGGGAAAAAAGGACAGTCTTGGGGAACAGAGGCCTAGCAGGCAGAGGAGAGTTAGCTTGGTCCAGACCAGAGGGCTCTTTCTGAAATTAAGCTGGGACAAAGAGGTGCTGCTCAAGGATGCACTGGATGTGTGAAAGCCCGAGATGCTCTGCTAGCTCCAGTGGTGTTCGCCCCTTGTAGTCCTTATGCTGCAGTTGGGATTGAGGTGCCAGGAAGCAAACCACATCTGTATGACCTTCTCGAATAGCAACATGGATGGGCAGTGAGCCAGAAGCATCTGGGACATTGACATCTGCACCATGCTCCACCAGGATTTTCAAGGTATCAAGAAAGCCAGTGCGGGCAGCATCATGAGCAGGTGTTGTGCCAGATCCATCTTGAATGTTAGGGTTGGCACCTTGCTTCAGCAGTTCTTCAGCCACAAAGATATTGCCAAACATCATTACCTGCAGGAAGATGAAGGATGAAAGAGAACAAAGCAGGGGATATATAGCCTCAACTCCTCTCAGTAGGTTGGCAGGCAAGCCTTAACCCCATTTGCTGATTATGGGAAGTAATAGGGACGGCTACCTTCCATTGAAGGCTATGTTTGTACAACATACTGAAACATAAACAAATAACTAATTTAGTTTATACATAGTTAATATGATTTAATGGTTTGGGCAAAACTGAATTAATTAAATAAGCAATTATATTAATCACTTGCACAGCCATATTAATTACATTCATGGACTCTAGACCGAAAATCACAAAATCCATAATTCTGCCTTTCTAAGGCCAACCTTGTTATCTGTTATAAAAGGAAATAGACAGGCAGGCAAGATAAAACAGAACAGAACAGTGGAGTTGGTTGGTTGAAGAGCTATACTTCAGCCTAGGCAGATCTTCCAGTAATTTATACAAGCAAGACAGGGTGTACCTCTTTTCTCCAAACTAACTGTAGACAAGCCACCTCATGCCCTTTAAATGACCCTATTTGGTTTGAACCCAACAGGAAGCAGTGCTAGCCTGTCTGGCCTGTGTTTGTGTACTATTTATTTAAAACACAATGATTATGTTTAAATGCTGGGTGAGCTTTCATGCAAAGATAGAAAAGATGGAAAAGATTATAAAAATATGGGGAGGGTACTGTGGCCATAATCAGTTATTGGGCTGCAATCTAGAATCAATTTTTGGTTGAGAGAGATGTTCTTGAAACAGCCACTTTTCCTAGACGTGCCAAACCAATGGGAGTGAACAGAGGCTGGGGAAAACTGCAGAATCAGAGCCTCTTCACCCAGGCCTCCGGTGTCTCCAGGAGACACTGTTTTCTCTCTAGGAAACAGGAACCATGGGATGCTTCACTTACCTGCAGCGCAGTCTTGCCAAAGCGATTATGGGAATCAGGATGCACCAGCTCCAGATGCAGAAGGTGTCGGACTTCAGCTATATCCCCCCGGGCAGCAGCCCCGGTTAGCCGGTCTCCAGCCTGGATCTCGGCATTTCCCAGCTGCATGCCCGCACAAGGCACCTGCAGGGAAAAAGGACAGGCGAAAATGAATGAACTGACGGCCAGGCGAACAAGATTCTTGCGCTGCCACAAACAGGCTTCTTTTGCAGCAAGAGGTGTTGGCACCGAAGTTCGCGCAGTTGTACTCCACACCGGCCGGGCTGCCTGCCCGTCCTGCTTGAAAGCGGCTACTATTTCCAGCGTGCGGGGAAAGCATTCTGTAGAGGCGTAGATGCTCCGCATCTCATTTCATTCTTTACGTTTGTTTTGCCAACAGGCCGACAGGTGCTAGCTAAATTTTTCCCATCTCCCAGACGGCGGAGGCAGCGGCCTTCCCTCGGGCGGGAATCCTGTTCGCTCTTCTGCACTTACCTCGACTCCCGGGAGGTAGGCTCTTCTCCCAGTACTTGTCAAGCAGAGCAGAAGCTAGCGCTTTGCTCCGCGTTGCCTACTCGGCTAAAGGGCTAGCCTCGCTGCTGCCCCTAAAGAGGGGTTGGCCCGGTTAAAGGCAGCCGTCGGGACGTGACAAGACAGATCGATGCAGATGCTGCTAGAATGTCGACCCAGGGAGGTGTTTTTGGGGGGCTCGGCTCCCTCGGGGCGGGGCTGTACTGAGAAGGAAAGCCGCTGAGGACAGCCGTGGCAGGCAGCGCCGCCCGTTCCTTCGCTTGCCCGTCCAAGCGAGGAGCCGGCACAGAAAGTGCCAAGCCCGCCCCACCCATTGAGCTGCAGCCTCGCCAGGGCAACCTCCCTTCCCTTGGCCCCGCCCCCTCTGCCCGGACGCTGTTTGTTGCTTTTTTAATTTTATTCCGCGCTATTAATTTGGATACATTATAACCTGCCTGATTCTCCATTCCACCTCCCTCGCCTGATCCGACCAATCATGAGCAGGCTCCGGGCAGGAGCCGGAGTGCTTCGTCTTTGGATTGGTTCACTAGTGGCGGACTGCTGGGCGGGTCTCTTCGATTCAAACAGTATTTCGGGCGGGAAGAAGCTCCCAGCTCGGCTCCAGGCAGGCAAGGCAAGCCAGAGGTCGCGACCTGGGAGGGGGCAGGAGGAACGCGAGACGGCTCTCCAAAATGATTCTCGCCGTGCCCGTGTAAGCGAGCAGCCCACCCCAGCCATGTTGAGCTTGGAAATCAGTGCTTTCTACTATCCTCGACTAAGGTTTCCTTGTAAAATCCGCTTTGCTTGCTCTTGTACACAACAGGAATAATTGTTTTTGAGCAAACATAACTACATGCATTTTATGTAGTCAGGATTAACTTCACAGGTGGTAGCGCTTCTCAACTGCAGGAGTCGGACTTACTATTTTTTTAGAAAGCCAAGTCAGGTTTTCTATATATACTCCATCACATACCGGTTTATCTGTCCTTCCATAGAAAGGATTTGGAAGAGCTATACTAAACCCTGCTTTCAATCTTCAGTTATATTATTCAGTTTTGATGAGTTTGCTGCAACTCTAATGTAAGCTACCTCAGAATTTGCAAATATCCCTGATTTTTTACAATGCTGTCCTTCATCTGCCCCCTTCCCCCCCCTGTAAAGACAGCCTTTGCCTGTCTTCTTGCTCTGTAGTAAAACTTGTTTATCTGATTTCCATCAGCCCAAGCAATCCACATCTGGTAGAGCTCTTCATTTCATTCTGGGAAAATCTCTTTGCTCTAATTGGTGAATGTGAACTGAGACCAGAATGGCCCTTCTTCTCCTGTCCCTAGCCCTGCCCTCTGCATCCATTTCATCCTGGGCTTTTTGCCCCTTTCAAAAAGATCTTCAAATGGCAGACTGCTAAAATCCACTTTTTGTTTTGTTTAAATTTTACAAATTCATCAGTGGACTGGTAAATGCTGGATTTTCATTTTTTTAAATATTTCAAGGTCACTGATGGGTCATTAGAATAGTGGATGCTTCTTTAAAAGAAAAATTAGCAAAGCTTCTACAGATTTCCTCTTTTTACCCAATGATAGGAAGGAAGAAAAAGCTATGGTTCCCTCACTCCTACAGGTCCATCAGAGGACACACCTTAGGGAAGGTGTCAAATACAAAAATTCAAGAGAGGATCATATCGTGTTTTCCCAAAAATAAGACCTACCCCCAAAATAAGCCCTAGTTTGGGGGTGAGGAACACACCTAAAAATCAAGTTAGGGCAGGGGTGGAGCTGCCCCATGCGCCCCTTACCCACTTACCAGGCCTCCCATGAATTGACACCTGCCTCTCCTCGCCAGCCCACTTCTGCAGTGTCCCCCAGCCTGCATTTTGCTATCACTGGCTTTTCTGGAAAGACCTCTGCAGCTGAGACACAAGCTACGGATTTAATCTATAGCTTGGTTCTCGGCTGCAAAGACCTTCCGGGAAGGCCTCTGATGGTGAAATGCAGGCCAGAGCTCCCTTCTCAGCTGCAGAATAAAGCTGCTCCTTCAGCCACAGAAGTGGGCTGGCTGGATAGGGCTGTTGGTGCCGCCACCGCGAGGTGAGTGGAAAAGACACCCCCTGAAAATAAGACCTGGTGCTTCTTTTGAAGGCAAAAATAAAAATAAGACTGAGTCTTATTTTCAGGGAAACATGGGATAAAAGTAGAAACTTCAGGTCCTCAAAGACTGATCCATAGAAAGGAAATAACTGATGATTCCTTTTCCATACAAAAGGGAGATAAAGGATTAGATGCATCCACTAATTTAGGCTCTGGAGAAAGTACCTAGTCAATATTAATCTTATTTAATTTAAAAAAAAATTTAAAATCTTTTTCAATTTTAAAATCTTTTTTTTAATGTTTTTATAAATCCTTTTTTAATTTTTTAAAATTTTAAAATTTCTTATTTAAACATTGAAAAAAACAATTTACTTTAATTCTTCAGAAATTTTAAAATTCTTAATGATCTAAGAGGAAAAAAATAAAATATCACAGAAAAAAAGACAGAAACTTAAAACAGGGAACCCGATGAATTTTTCAAGACAAAAGGTCAAGAACTGTTGTAAACTGACACTTTGCAACACAGAATATTTAAATTTTAGAAATTTTAAATTTTTTAGCAAACAAAGAAAAAAGTCATGGAGATAGAGACTGACACAATAGCGACTTACAAAGTGCGCCATATATTTCAGCTTATGCCACAGAAGACCCATACTATGTATGTATCAAATGGACTCTGTTTGAATTACTAGAAGAAAAAGTAAAGGGTTTAGAGCAGTGGTGGCGAACCTATGGCATGCGTGCCAAAGGCAGCACGCTAAGCCCTCTCTGTGGGCAGGCACCATCGTCCCAGCACACGTGGTCTCTAAAAGTTCGCCATCACTGGCCTAAGGCCACCCAGCCTGGAGCCGCCGTTGGGGAGGCGCCCCTTCCCCCCCGCAGCAGTGCACCCGCACCTCACTTACGGGCCGGCAGGGCGGGGCCTTGCAGAGGAGGAGCTCGTCCCTCTGTGATAAGCTGCAGCTGTGCTTGGCGGGAAACTTGTAGGAGCCCGACCCCATTGCGCTGGCCATGTGGTTGCGGTTTGCCCCGCTGTGCCTGTTGCTCTGGCAGCGCCTCCAAACGGCCGCTGTCCTCCAGTGGGTCTTCTCCTTCCTGGTGCTGGGTGAGGATGGGATGGTGCTGGAGGTGGCAAACTTGGCTTGTCCCAGCCGCGGGGGAGGTTGCAGGAGAGGCAGCGCTGGCCGGTGGTCATGGCCAGTGTGGGGTGGAGGGACTGGTGGACGGAGGCAGCCTATCACCACCCAAAGCCCTGACTCATAGGAATAGATAGAAAATATCCAGCAGCAAGAAAGGAAATCGAAAGAGACAATAGACACAGCGCCCTGCAAGCGGAGCATGAAAGGACAAAGAGGCTGGATCCGCAAAGACGCCGGTTTAAGAAAAGGCAGGAGGCAGAGACAACAGCGAGCAAATGATGGGCTCAGGAAGATGTGCGACCTTTACGATAATCAACTCATTTGTTCCTATGAGTGGCGGCTGCAACCCGATCATGGCACTGAAACTGCGGAGTGCTCTCCTACTAAGATCGGCCCTCCCTGGTGCTGTCCTGGCTCCGAGCGCAGCAGCTCGGGCCCGAGAGAGCCAATGATCACTGCCGAAGCCCATTGAAGGGGCAGGGCCGGGACATGCACATTACTTTGAGCTACGGGGCGAGAATTAGAGCGGAGATGGGCTGCCCAGAGGGGTGGAAGGGGAGGGAGGCGGGAGGCCTCTCCTTGGCACTGCTCACCTAAAATCGGATTAGGACGAGCGGAGTGGAGAACGGCGGGCCTGCAACCAGCTGCGTCGTTTGTTGCTTTTTCCCGGAGAGATGTCCCCTGCTTATGCTCCTCCATGCTCTGCTGCAGGCTTCCTGATACAAGCCACGGAAGGCACCAACAAAGCTTTGTGCACTGCAATCCCTCAAAATGATTCACACCCTGCAAATGAAAGCTGTAAATTGCAAGATCGGGGGGGGGGGGGCAGGATTCAGCCTGGCTGGAGACTTGATGATTAGTACTTGCTTCATCCTCTGGAAAGGACCTTCTCAGGATGTGCAGTGTGCCTTCTAATAATAACCATTACTCCAAAGAGCCCTAGGTGGGGGCGGGCAGGCAGTTATGGTACCCGGCTTGGCTCTTGTCGGCGGCGGCTTGCCTTGCTTCGCATGGGGCTGCCTTCCCAAACCCCAACTGCTCCAGCCCTGCAGGGTGCTGCCACTTCCCCTAGCTGGGGCTGTCTGCAGGCAGGAGCAGCCGGAGCAGTGGGCTCCTGAGCACGTTCAGAATGCCACAGCTGGCACTGCTCCGGGGCTGGTGAGGTGGAGGAGAGGGTCACCCACTGCCTCTCTCGTAGCCCAGTGCTGCCTGGGGCTTTACCTGGTGCTGCTGCTTAGGAACGGCTGGCTGCTGGTGCTTGGCTACGCAGCCTGGCTCTACCTGGACTGGGAGACACCATCTTGCAGGGGACGCCGCTCTGCCTGGACCATCTGGCTATACTTCCAGGACTATTTCCCCATCACAGTGAGCAGAGGAACCGGGAGGCTTTCACTGCTA